ATGGAAGGTTAAATAAAAATTATTTTAATAAAAAATAAATTATGTTTTGTTTGAATTTTAAATTTTCAATGTTAGTTGCACAAATTTAGTCTTACTTAAATTTAGAGTTACTTCTAAAATTGATTTAAAAATAAAATCTTTAGTATGATGCAGTATTGATGAATATTGAATTTTAAAAAAATATATATATATATATAAAAAGAATTCAAAATATAACTATGTAGTCATTAAAAAAAGAATAATTAGAAATCTCTGAATATCCGAACTGAACCGAAAAATAAAAATCTTCAAACAGAATTAATTTTTTGGTACGGTTTTAGTGATCTCCGAATATCGGTACGCTCCGGAGATTTGTCAATCTCCAAACCGTACCGACTCGTACTCACCCCTAGAATATTGACAATATATATACTAATATACTACACACACATTTGAAATAATATGTAAGCACTTGCATCATCAATTCATAAAAAACAATAGACAAAGTTGGTGGGGTTTGAGGTTATTACTCGGTCATTATGCTTTGGTAAGGGCGCAATTATTGCACGTTGATCAAGAAAAAAGTTGTCCATATGGATTTGATGCAATGAGGAGCAGTAAACCAACCGGGACAAAGATTTCATGTTTGAAAATTATATACTAATTCATGTTTCATTTTATTTCATCAATGCCACAATTATAAAAATGACATCATATTAGATACGTGTTATTCATCCCACTAAAATGAGATCTGTCTATTAATCTACATGGTAAAAAATGAACTACCAATTCTTACTTTGACATATTTTTAATGATAAATTACCAATAACTAGTACTCATTTTACCTTATATTTCAAACTAAAAAATAAACTTCCCAAAAAACTTTTACTTTGACATATCTTTAATGCTAATTTAGTAATACACTATGATGTGAGATACCATACCGGGTCGAATAGTCCCGATAAACTAGCCAACCGGATTGGGCAAACTGGTTGGTCGGTGGAGCTACAAGCAGGTCAAACGGAGATCGAAGGAGCAACAGGCTAGGTAAGACGTCGCAGATCCAAAAAAGTACCGACAGCTCGAGTTAGGACCCTCGGTTGGTTGAAACTCGACCTGAACGCATGACTAGTCGATATCGACCAAAAGAGCAGAGCATACGGGCTCCGCACAGAAGACACTCTACCTCAAGGCGCATCGAGTTAGTCGCACGATTAGATCGTCTGATAAGGTAGACTAATGAATAAGAAACAATATTATTAAGATAAAAACCAAACGTGGATAGGGCCACGTGGCCTAAAAGAATTGGGCAGTTCGGCCAGTACGGACAAGCAGTTCGAGCAGTCTGGGCAGCTTATCCCGACATTCTGTAACACACTCCAATATAAGGAGATGAGGTATAATTTGTCCATTCTACACTCTATACTTATAGATTTTTACATACATTGTTCATCGTTTTTTTTCATCTGTGGAGTGACTTGACCGTCGGAGTGCTAACGTCAGGTCTATGAACAGGTTAAAGCACAAATCCAAGTCATGTAAGACGAGCAAAGTTCTATTACAAACTATTTTGGCGTCGGTTGTGGTAACATCATTCAAAAATCCATACAAACACCATAGGCATGGCGAACGAAGCTCTTAGAAAGAACTTAAAGCATACTTTTGACGATGTATGGACCACCATGAGTCCGCTTGGAGCAGGTCCACCATCGGGAATCTCAAAGTCATTTCAAACTTAGATGACCCGATGACTAACCCTATGGTCGTGGAGAGCTCATCGGCGATCCCTGTTGCAGTAGGAGGCCTGAACAACCCAGCGGAGGTTAGATCGAGTACGGAGGTCGTGGTTCCACACTAGATGCAACCAGATCTAATTGTATATAGCCGATCCCAAATGAGCCAAAAAAAAAAAAAAATCAATGGTCTACAAGGTCCCGACAAAATAGAACTGAATGAAAACAAACAAAAATTAAAGGTCTAAACCTGGTCTGATATGTAGAGATGTTAAATGGTCCTTGGCCCGACGGGCCGGCCCGTTTAGCCCGGAAAAAAACAGGGTTAGGGCTTTTTATTGGTAGCCCGTTTAAATCAGGGCTTTTTAGGCCCGGACCGTTTAAACCGAAGCCCGTTAGGGCTAGCCCGAAACCCGCTAGGGCTGGCCCGTTTAACTTGAGTTGGGTGTTGTAAATCTTTGCAGCAAGTAAATAATATGCTCTTAGATTCATTGTATATTACAATTTTGCTATTCCACTTCACATATAAGTATGAGTTGTAACGGATTATATTGATTTTGAAAGATAATTATTAACAATATTCTTATTTTACTCCAAACCAAAATATTTAACTCAATCAGAACGACTAATAGGAAACAAATGAGACAAAGACCTAACACATGAAACATAGTGATAGAATTTATAGTGATATAATATCGTAAAAATTTCCAAAGCGTACAAAATAAGTAGTGAAATGGTAATTGTATGTAATAATTCGAATATTTTTTCTTTTGAAAAAAAAAAATATTATTTAAGAGTTTGTAGTATGTGTTCATATATGATGTGTAGTTGTGTATATAGAGCGGCAAATACTAAATACCGTTGAAAACAATCGTTAATTAGTCGTTGTAATTTTTTATATTTTTTTCCTTTTATTTTTTATATTTTTTGATATTAAAGCCCGCTTAGCCCGTTTAGCCCGAAGCCCGCTAGGGTTAGGGTTAGGTCCTTTTATTGGTAGCCCGTTTAAATCCGGGCTTTTTAGGCCCGGACCGTTTAGCCCGAAGCCCGCTAGGGCTAGCCCGTAACCGCTAGGGCTAGCCCGTTTAACATCTCTACTGATATGTGCCCAGTGTACAATCTGCACCACAAAGTAGGGGATTGTAATGGGCCCGATCTCTGCGCAACCCGGGCTCGCGGGGCTTGTGTGCGATGATTATTGGCTGCGTCGTCGGTGCTCAGGCTATCGTCAACGGTGGCTCTGACTCACGAATATGTCATATCTTTTTTTAAAAGAAAGTATTCATCTTATAATCAATAAAGATACTGATGTAGCGAAAGCGTGAACGAATGGGAAAAGATACAATACGAGTATACGAGATACTCTCTCGTAAAACACGTAAAAGAGATACTCTCTCTTGATAAACTAAACAAGAACAAATTTTTATTTCAATCGATAAACTGATTGTACATTCTATTAGACTGCTAATAAATAGAGTTCAAGATCTTCTACAATCCCTAACTTATCAAACAAGTAAATAAATATCTTCTAACCACCTTAAAGATAAATAAGAGATAATAATAATAATAATAATAATAATAATAATAATAATAATAATAATAATAATAATAATAATAATAATAATAATAATAATTAAACTATTAAACTATCCTCATCAGATACCATTTTCAAAAGATACGTATCAGTTACATATTTTGTCCTTTGATCTCGAAAAAAATTATAAAATAAGTAACTCACATAAGTGGAAATATAAATTTTTTGTTGTATAAAATTGTAATTCAAAAAACTAACGTGGAAGTTAGAAAAAATAATATGGACTGTGTACTTTAGCCAAAAAAAACTACCGTATATCCCCTCCTATATATTAATCCAGAACGCGCTGAGTTTACGTGGCTGCTTCTGGTGCTTCGAAATTCTATGTGGCAAAATTACATGCTCGTTATTAGGCTTGGGTAAATTTTAATTTAATTCCAAACCAAAAATAATTAGGTTCGGATTACCATAAATATGTTGATTATTTATGGTCATGTTACATGTATTAATTGCATCATTCTTTATTATAACTATTGAATAGTATATATATTTTAAAAGTTAATAACTTTTGTATTTTTTATCAGTTTTACATATGTAATATATCAAATTAATCTTTTTTTTATGAGCTTCTATTTAACATCCATATTGTATGTATAAAAAAAATAATTTATATTTATCTTTATAATAATAATAAAATTATTTTTAATATTAACTAGAAAAAATAAAATTATTTATCAACTGATATATTTATATTTCAAGTAGTTATATGATATAAGTTATAAAAACTAATATAATATAACACATGTAAGTCATAAGTAACACATATCATTCTAAAATATATAGTAATATATTTTTTTGTAAAAAAGTAAATTAAATTTAATATAGTTTTCTCATTAACTTTTTTTATTTAAGAATAGTTTTTTAACAAGCACCCGTGTAATACACGAGTGTTGTATTAATTATCTATACTTCATAAACTATATGGAATGATTTTATTAGTATTTGTTACTATAGATTATCTATACGGCATAATCTATATATGTGTATCCAACGACGAAAAACAATGAGTCCCTATGAAGGAGCGTAACCAACCCCTAAAAGAAGACGAGAGTAAAACGGCCCCAAAAACAAAACGAAAAGGTTAAAAAAGGAGATGACCAATACCCTCATTAACAACCCATAGCTCTAATCGTGTTCGATTTCCAGTTTTTTCCCTACCTTTGGGCTTACTCGATTTTCGAACAACTTTCCGAATCGCTGCCCTTTTAAATTTCAGACACTCTGTGAAGTATGAGCTACAACAGGTAGATCCAAGTGTTTTCATGAGCGTGTTATATGAGAAGAGCTGCCGAGACACTGAATTCTAACATAAACTCAAGGTAATCGAACTACCTAGGTAATTGGATTTGTTAGGCAGATTGTGATTTCCTGCCAGGATATAAACTATTTTCGTATTATCTCGTCATCTTCATTTTCTTCTCTGCTGTGTAATGGCTGAAAATTTGATGAATTTCATGTTATAGGGAATTTTAAGAGCTTTTTTCACGCATTAATTGACATTATTGTTTTTCATTGTTGCTTAATTTCATTGGTTACAAGGGTGGCTCACTAGGTGTTTGTTAAAAGGCCTGTTTGTGAACTCATGCCCTGAGATTTTTCACTCTCTGCCCCCCAGCACATAATCAGGAGCAATCAAGAAGTGACCGACCGATCGAAACCGAACCTTGGAACTGTACAGTAACAACAGCCTGACGATGGATTCAAATCAATCAAACACAAAGAAAGAAGAAATCTTTCGTCTTTTTGACGATAACCCGACTCCCGGATTGGAATTTCTTGATTTCTCGGACAAAACCCTCCCGCCTCCTCCCCCATGCCTGGAAGTTCCCGCCTCAGACACTTCACGAAACAACATGAAGTACAGTGTGGAGCCCGTGAACACGTGCGGGCTCACGCTACTCAAGGGACGGGTGAGCACCCAGGAGGTATTTTCATTGGCAGATTGGGATTTAGTGCCGGGAAAGTACGAAGGCGGACTGAAACTATGGGAAGGTTCACTAGATCTAATTACAGCCTTGAATTCAGAAATGAAACATCAGAAGCTTTCATTCAAGGGAAAGCGAGTTTTGGAGCTCGGATGTGGGCACGGCCTTCCTGGCATATTCGCTTGTCTACAGGGCTCCACGGCTGTCCACTTTCAGGATTTTAATGTGGAAGTCCTGAAATGCCTCACGATTCCCAACGTGAATGCTAATCTAGAAAAGTGTTCTCCGGAGGACCGTACTAATGTTGAGACGCGTTTTTTTTCTGGCGACTGGGCTGAAGTCGAGCTGGACAGGGCGGCCGGTTATGATGTCATTCTCATGGCCGAGACGGTTTATTCTGTTCCGGCACTTCCCAATCTTTACAAACTTATAAAGAGCTGCCTGAGTTGTCCAGGTGGGGTCGTGTATTTTGCGGCAAAGAAGTATTACTTTGGCGTGGGAGGTGGGTCGAGGAGGTTTTTGTCCATTATTGAGAAAGATGGTGTTTTGGCGTCTTCTCTTGTTGCGGAAGTTGCGGATGGTTCGTCTAATCTTAGAGAGGTGTGGAAGCTGTATTTTAAGTAAGTCTATGGTAGGTTCATGGGTGACTTTATGTTTTTAACTGGTTTGTCAAATTATTCCTTTATGAGTGAACAAGATCCCATAGGTGGATTCAAACTCTCTTGTATTGGTTGTTATCATTAACTTTAGTTTTTGAAGCTGCTCTTTCTACTCGAACTTGATGCTTACTCTGATTAGTGATATACTGATATGGGTCTTAGGGTCTATGATCAAGATTTTTGAGGAAATTCATGCCAAGAAAAACTTAGTAATTTCGAGTGTTACTAACAGATAACATCATCCTCTGAGGGGCGATAGTTCCAAATATCGTCAATGATGCTATCTTACTGCATATGCTTACTTAATTGGCACCATTTGTTAGCCTTCCCTTAAAGGGATTTCTCCTTTTTCTTTGTCCTTTTACGTAGCCATCGATGCTTGAGAAGCTGATCATGTCAAGGTACACCATAAATAAATGCTGTGTGATTTTATGTACAATGGTTTGGGCTGTTATACTCATGGTTTCAGATATACTTTGTCACTGCATTAGTGATTGGATATGTCTCTTTGAACTCGCTCCCAAAGTTGATGTCGTAAAGTCCGTTATCGAGTACATGAGTTCTTTGAACTCATCCAATGGAAGGGATTATTTGAGTTTGTACATCCCGAAGCTGGATATGACTCTTCAAAGTTTTCATACTCTTGAATTTCAATGTGATTAAGTGCTTGTGACTTCCTAATCATAAGTTGCGCATGAAGGTCGGTACTCCAGTGATTAGGGTTGTAAACGAATCGAATCAAAACGAATACTCAGAGATTCGATTCGGATTCGTTAAAATATTCGAAGATTTGAATTCGTATTCGATTCGTTAACGAACTCATTTTTTGATTCGTATTCGATTCGTTTAGAATATTCGAACATATTCGATTCGAAATTTGTTTTAAAGAAAATGATAATTAAAAAATATTATAATTTCAAAAAATAATTTTTATTTTTCATACATTTTTAGAAAAAAATGTTAATTTATGATGTTTTTACTTTTTATGTCATAAAAATAGTAGGAATATAATATATATATATATATATATATATGCATATATTATGAACAAAATGTATACTATATATAATTTATAAAATTTACATAATTATTGTTAACGAATCGAATATTCGAATTTCGAATCGAATATCTACAAATTCGAATTCGGATTCGTTTAACTTTTGAATATAAAACATTTTTCGTATTCGAATTCTGATTCGAATTGGAATCACGAATATCGAATTCGAATATCGAATCGAATCAAAAAAAAAAATTGATTTGTTTACAAGCCTACCAGTGATGGTGCTCAGAAACATTAATCATTCCATGAGGTTGTGCAACAATATATATTTAGTTATTACAAAGCTCAACAACTATGTTCTCGGATGCAAAATTTTAACTTGTGCAAGAGTTAGTAGTTAGTGATAATGTTCTTATTCTTACGCTAACACTCCTACCATCTTATTTGAGGGTATCGTTCAAGTTTCAGCGCATACATCTTTTATCTCTCATAGTTTCACATGCTACAACCAATGAAAGTCAAGGTCAGTCTCTGTCGCACGTTTGCTTACTATTGAAGAGCCATGTATTCAGTCTTGGGTAGTTGTGCGCGGCTCTTTTCTGAGTCACGAGCTAGAAGGTTTTGAAGATAATGATCTGTAGTGATGAAAATTCTAACAATAAAAAGCCACAAATGTTATATATAAAAAACATGTTTAATAATAGTTACTCATTTTCTTAAATCATTTTTTTTTTTCTTAATGATTGAGTTATGATTTTTATTTTTTATATGTATTTTTTATTTCTTTCTCCTCTACGTTCAAACCAAGCATCACTTATGATACCATGTATGATAAATTGTATTATGCATTATTTACTTGTGTAATTTATTAATATTTATTAATAACCTAATGTTACTTTTAATTAAATAGTTAATACATTGTATGATGAATTGTATTTTAAGTTATTTGGTTATATAGTTATATTTCAAATTATTTAGTTATATAATTTATTAATTTTATGGTAATAATGTGTTCTTTGCTGAATGCGTACATGTCTAACATGTCCTAGATATTTGTGTCATGTAGATTGTTTTTTATACAGGGTCCCAGCAAAATTTATAAAAGTTATGATAATTAATTTAAAGTTTATTAGAATGTTCTGCGAAATATTGTAGAAACACTGTACTAATTGTTTGTTAGGTTGAAATTATCAAAAGGGTTAAAATGTTATTTTTTTTTCTTTTTAAATATATGTTAATCCAATGATTGTAAAAATAATACTAGATTTGGTAAAACAACCAGAACATTGAATTGATCACCAATACAATTATATATACGTATTCATCCTTATTATTATATATATATAATTTTCTAAATGTTATATGTACCAATTTAATTATAACTGACCATAATTTGAAAGTTTTAAACAAATATGACAAGAACTCAATTAGTAATATTGTTGTTCAAATAAAATACATCTGTAATTATTTTTAATCCCAACCGTCCATTATATATCTTATCTCATATTGACTCTCAATTTTAATAAATACGATTGTTCAAATAAAATCTTTCTACAATTATTTTTAATCACAACCGTCCATTATATCTCACACTAACCCTAAATTTAATCATGACTGTCCTATAAATTTTCATATTACCGCCGCCGGTGATTATCATGGAATTCCTATATATACGGTGTATATTTTACATTTTTCACATCACAAACTTGAGAATAACATCATGAAATTCCTATATGTACCGTGTATATTTTACATTTTTCACATCACAAACCTAATGAGAATAACAAGTAACCTCTATCTTCTAGCTAGAATGCTGGTTCCAGATCGAAAAAAGTGATATAGCATGGAATGAATTTCTTTTATCCCATGTTTTTTCACACATATATTCGATGCAGCCAACATTCTGCTATAAGATAAATGTTTTGTTGTTATGATGAAGTTTGTTGCACAATTGCTAAATTATTTTTTTTTAGTTTATTATAATTCTCACCCATTTTAACATTCTCTCCATTCAATTAAGACTGGTTTTTATTTGCTATTGATTTATAAATTTTGATTATTAATTTGACCAAACATCTGTTGATTGATTTTTAAAGTTTGATTATTATTTTGATTGGCTTATAAAGATTGATTATTATTTTGACAAAATAGGAAAGATGAACTCTGTTGGATCAATGTTTTTAATTTAAACAAACATAGAAGTCTTTCATATTATTTGTTGAGGCTTTGTGAGTTTTACCAGAAATATTTTTTAGATTTTTTTTTTTTTAATTTACCTATTAAGCGGCTTCTTCAAATATAAAAATGATGACATTCAAACTTCTATTTTTCCTCTAGGTACAGTATCAGTCACATTTACTATATTTTGACTAACATTTTTACATTAGCTATATATATTTTGACCAGTATGACTAACATTTTTACATTAGCTATATATATTTTGACCAGTATTATATTGTCATGGTAATACCCTATCTTGTTATCTTGTCTTGTGAACAATATTGAACAATATATATAAATTGATGATGTAAGGTTAATAAAATCACCCAAAATTTCCTAAAACATGTAAAAAAAATCTAAATTGTTATGATAATATATTAAAATAGTTTATATAACAATCATTAAATACTACTTTCATTATACTTAGGAATATAAAGTTCTTTCAAACACGTACAGGTCAAACATACAACATTCCTAACCTTCCTATTTTGGTGTGTTCAAATTTAAATAATTTGAAATGTGATGTGTAAAATATGTTGTGTTAATAAATTCGACCAAATTTTTAAAGAATAACATGATGTAATTACTTCTTAAATATGCTTTTTTTTTTATACTCTATTTTGTCTCATATTTGTATGTTTTCTACATATAATTATAATTTATAACAATTTTGTATCTACACAAATTTTATTTATTGCATCATTTATTTCATGAAAATAAAATAGACGAAATCCTTATTTACTGAAAATGATTTCAAGAGTCCACACAATTCGGAGTTTCGTATGATTTCAAAGTCTAGATAATACTAAATCTGTATAAACTATACACCATATTATTCTAAATACTAATCACACGTGGGAATGACTTACGTTATTTAAATTTCAAACTTAAACTGCATATGTTTCGAAAACGAAATGATTTTTTTTTTCAATCCAGATTTAGAAAAAAAAATTAATTTTTAGGTGGAGTTTGTTTTTTAATATTTAAGATAAATTCTTGGCCTTTTATATATTAATAGATGACAAAAAAGTATATTTAAAAAAATTATTAACAATTTAGCATCAATAGATAAGTTTTAATTTTTTTCATATCGATATACATATTACTAATTTTTTATCTACACTTAAAAAATGCATATCAAATAAAAAAGCGTCTGAAGTTAATTAACAGATAAAAATATCAAGTGAAAAGAATAAAAAAACGCATTCATCTCAATTAATATTGTATTAAAAAAAGAAAAATGAACTAAAAAAGTAAATAAGATTTTTTTATGTGATTTTCTAAAATACTATTTTGGTTCGATTTGTTAAAGTTCGAGCACAGACTATTAATTTATTGTTTGAGCTCGAGCCTATTTATAGTATTTATCGACAAAATTGGATAATGTGTCAAAAGTTGACTAACTCGATTCGATAATGATTTGAGCCTAAATTTGAGCATAAAAATTTAAAACTCAATTCAGCTCGGCATTTATGCGTACAAAATTGATGTATGAATATAGATAATTCGTATTAAGATCTTGTGATGAGTTAATAATATATTGTGAAGTTGTACCCAAAAAAAAAAAAAAAATATATATATATTGTGAAGTTCTGAGTGAGGGGATGTGATGTGAATTAATTAAAAGTTTCTACATCACACTGCATAATGCATATATAATTTAATATGGGTAACACACTATAATTAGCTTGGATTATATAACCCATGCACATTACAAAAAAAACTCTTACATTCCAACAAAAATTTTCCGTTCAAATTCTTTATATTTTCCGCTGGAATAACTATTCCAACGAATATTCCTACGTATAAAAATTCGTGGGAAAAACGACCGTTGGAATAACTAAAATCTAACGGAAAATCCTAAAGAAATAAATTCCTACAATTATTCCAACGGAAAAAATCCGTTGGAATTCCTCTAACCATCCAACACTTATTCCAACATTAAATTAAATTTGTTAGAATATTCATTGGAATTTCCAACGAAAATTTTTGCCGTTGGAATTTTTCGTTGGAATTGAAATATTTTATTGTAGTGCCATTATTAGAGTTTTCCTAAGAAAATGTTTAATTGATGAAATTTCCAAGTTAAACACATTTTATAATAGAAATTATAATAATTAGTACAAAAGAAATTGAAAAAAAAATGTGTGATTATGTTTCTAGTAATATTTTGATAAATCCCATTGTCAATATTGTTTATTTAGCAATCAGAATTACATCACCACTCCCCAAATTCGTGTGTGGTAAGAAATATTATTTGGCCATTATTTATTGTGTTTGATAAATCGCATTTTACTAAGATGAATTAGCTGTTAGGATCTCTATTTTGGGATTATATTCTAAGAATCATATTAATTGTTTGCTTTTATTGGAAAAAAAAAGTGTGTGATTATGTTCACCCATTTAATGAAATGCCAGCACATTAAGAACATAGAATGTTTATTGTTTAGTATAAATTTGGTGGGCAAGGGATAACCGAGCTACCCGACTCGAGTCGATCTCGAAGGAAAGCTATTCGGAGCTTTACTTACTATTCAATCGCTCAAATCACAAAAATGGAAAATAAAGTCCTAAACATACTAATCAATTTAGGTTGAGGTTGATTAACAGTTTAACACTAATTACGACTAGTGAAAGCAAGTAAACGAGCAACGAGCAAGGGAACGAACTATGGGATTCTAGCAACTAATCCAGTGAGCAAAATCAAGAGCAACAAAAGCAAAAGTAAGAGAAACGAACTTCATTTAGCATGCTTAAGAGCCAAAACCGAAATCCTATTACGAAATAACCGAGCTAAATGAAAAGTCACGATTTTTCTAATAACAATCAATCAATCAATCAACTCCAAGCATCATAAACGAGCTCACAAAAGAAAGGGAAACGAAAATAACTAAAATAGCTACTAAAAATTCGATAATCGTGCAAGCCCTAATTACTTCTACGCACGAGATAGCAAGTAAGTACGAATATCGAGATCACAAGGCTTAAAAGTAAGTACTCACATCCCTAACACATGCTTAATCGAAATCGGAAGAAAAAGATTAGAACTTTGCATAAACGAAGAGTCACCGAAAAAAGTCGCCGGAAAATGTAAAGAGCATCCACCTTACTCTAGAGAGAAAATAAAAGACTTAAGATAAGAACAAAAAAGGGAAACATTTCATAATGAGCTAGATGTTTTAAAATGCAAAGGACAAATTGTATTTATACTCCACACAAACACATAGTAAAAATGCAGATTTAAGTAGCACACTCTCGACCATGCCGGAACATTCGCGAGTCCGCGAGTAGAACTTGCACGGGCGCATGAGCGAGCAGACACTCTCGACGTCGTGCTGAAGTCCGCGAGTCGCGGCGTGCAGCTAGCGCAGGATTCGAGAGCTCTCGACGTCGCGGAAAGAGCCGCGAGCGCGCGAAATGGAGGAATTCGACTCTCGACGTCGTGGAACCGGGAGCGAGCTCACGAGCGGGTGACGTGCTGGGAAAACGCTACACTCTCGATAGCGCGAAAAACGGGGCGACGTGGCGAGCGCGCAATCGTGCTGGAAGAAATGTACTCTCGATATCGCGGAACTCTCGGCGGACGCGCGGAACGGTAAAACTGAGCTCTCGACGTCGCGGACGTGCGCGCGGGCTCGCGAGTGGACGGTTGATTGGGCTAGGCGTGAAATTGACTAAGTCTCGGAACTCTCGAAAAACGGACATGTACCGTGCGAAATGGCTCGGACTGCTCGGAAACTCGACTTCTCAGGGAAGTACTCGTCGCTCGGAAGGTGGCTCAACTCTCTCTATCTCTCCATCCACGGAATAAACTTGAAATAATACAAAAAGCATGAAAAAGTACGTCAAAATATTAAATTAATAACAAAAACATAAAAACACACGATAAACGAGAAAATGGACCGGTTTTGACACTAAAATAAACCTAAAATCGACTTAAAAGCACACAAAAACACAGAAAAACACACAAAAACACAATAAATATTTATTTAATATTTATATAGAAAATGAGTAGGTTCATTATTCTATTTAATTTAATGTTGTTTTTCCTTATCCTAATATTGTTATATTTTTGGAGACTAATTCTGGTACGGGGTCTTGAATTCTTCTCTTCGAGACAGTCGTATATCAAAATTTTAGACCAATTGGTGTCCGTTTGCTCAGTCAAATGTCCGCGTTTAAAATTATATGCACAAACTATATTTTAGACATGTGATAAACCCGCACGCCCAGCCTGTGGTTAATTTAAATACTCTTAGACACTAATGATTTGTGTACCAAATTTGACGAATTTTTCAAATTAATGCACCAAATTTGATGTCAATCAAACAGATGGACATTTGGTGCAAAGAGCTCAATATAAGACTGAAAGCAAGCATGCATTTTCTCAACTCTTAATATACATAGATTTAAGGCTGCTGAAAAAAAAAAAAAAACAAAAGGAAATTTGCAAGAACAAAAGCATATTTGAGTGATAAAAGTAGAGCTATTAGGGCGAAAATCAGATTTTCCCCTGAGCTTCAAACTTCTTTTTGAGGTCCATTAGAAAATCAAATATCTTGTACTGATCAGGCAGAGACTTGGACACGCTCTCCCTCTGCAGGCATCTCTTAGCCCACGAAACAAGCCGCGGACACTCGTGAATCAAACTGAACTGCCCGCAGGTCTCGAGCGCGTAAAACCAGCTATAAAACGGTACGAGGCCCACATCCACAAGCCCCAACTTTTCGCCACCAAAGTAAGGTTTATCACCAAGCTCCAACTCTAGCAATTTGAAGCTCTCGATCAACTCTTTCTTTCCCACTTCCTGCATTTCCCCTGTAGCGCCCCACACCAATCTTCCACTGCTATATATCTGTCCATATGTAGTACCGAAGATTATTTTTACATTGGCTAATGATTTATTTTCATACTGCTAGATAGGAGAGCAAAACGGGCGTACCTTCTTATCGATGTAGTCGGCCCAAAACCTCGCGTGGGCCCGCCCGTAAGGGTCGGAAGGCAGCAGAGGAGCTCTGTCTCTCCAGACATCATCGATGTACTGAACGATTATCATGGACTCGGACACGGGCTTGCCGTTGTGGATGAGGACGGGTATTTGCTTGTGGACGGGGTTCGATTTGAGGAGTAATGGGCTTTTGTTGCTCAAGTCCTGTTCTTGGGACTCGAACTCGAGGCCTTTCTCTCTTAGAGCTATTCTCACTCTCATGGCAAATGGGCTGCTCCACAGGTCCAGAAGAACCAATTCATCATCCTCTGCCATTGTTTGGAATTAGATTTTGTTTGATTAAAAATGTGTAATGTGATGGTAAGTGGACAAAGAAAAGGAACCGATTTTTTCAGGTGGGTGATGGTTTCAGAATTGAGTACTTTGGTGCTATTTATAGGCCATTTTTTATGTTGGAAGTGTTGAGAAGATGAAAGATGGTACTGAGTTAATCGGGAGCAGAACTAGAGTTTTCCAGAGATAATTCCAGATACGTCTGGTGGAGCTATCGTCAATAACGTCAATGCATATCCATCGGCAAGTAAAAAAGGTTTTGTAAATAACTTGTGCTGTGGAATTAAAGGAGTCTAGTTCGGCTCGGCTCGAGCTCAACTCGTTGAGCTTCAAGCTCGATTCGAGTTTGAAGCCTTAATGAGTCGAGCTCGAGCTTATTTAAAGCTCGAATGGTTAACGAGCCCAACTCGACTCGGCTCGTTAAAGCTCGAAAATAGAATTTTTATATAACTTTTTATAGTTCGGCTTGTTAAAGCTCGAGATCGGTTCGTAAAGGTCCGAGCTCAATGCCTTAACGATCCGATCTCGGACTCGAATTTTGGCTCGGTTACTTAACGAGCCGAGCTAGGCTCGATAAGAACTCGAACACCTTAAGATCGAGCTCGACTCGGCTCGTTTAAAGCTCTACAAATAACTTTTGTATTAATTAATTTGATTAGTAATTCAATTAGTAACTTAACGTATAACCTATTAGCTAATATCAAATAAAATATTTTAATAATTAATTTGATCAGTAGAAATCAATCATGTGTATATGCGCACTTATCTAAATGTAATGTCATCAGTCATATGTATGTATATTATATTTAAATTTATATGTTATACAAACCAAATTTCATATTCAATAAATTTAATAACTAGTAAAAATGAAACAATATAATTATAAATTACTTTACTTATTTATGATTAGCTATATAAATTGCATAAAATATATTGAATATTGGAACTTTTAGAAACTAAGGGTTGTGACCCATTAATTAGTTGATAAAATATTAAATTATTATTGTTATACCAATTGTTCATGCAATTTGAAAGGATTTGTTATGCCATCGTAACCGAATAGTTTCTACACATCGTTTAATGAGATAAAAATAAAAGATTAATATTTATTTTAAAAAATAACTTCAATATACCTTTTGATGTGAATTTATAATTAGGTAATATTATATTATTATATGAGCGAATAATTAAACAAATATTATTATACTCGATTAGTATAAAATTTAGTGAGTAAATTCACAATCAAATGAAAAAGATGGAGCAGAAATATTTGTCGCTTGCAAGTGTGGATGGTGGTATTTAATGGATTGTTGAGCCATGAGGATCGAAATACAACTTTATTCATGGAGCGACTAAATTTGTTTCATGGTATAAAGCATGTTCTTTCTTGTGTATCAATAGAGCTACTCTAATCCAGTCGTCGGTCGAATCTAACAAGATTAGTATATTTTTTGTTATGTATATGGAGGACCTGTAAAATATATTTATTGAGGGCACTGTCTTATGCATTGAGGTCCAATGGAAAAATTGTGTTGATTGTTTTATCAAGCAATATCACATCACTTTTACTGCCCAGTGGACGTATTGCACATTCTCGATGTACAATCCACCACACCGAATGGAATGGTCTTCATATGATATCAGCCAATATAGTCCATTAGCATAATTTATAATTCAAAGTAGAGAGTCTATTATGGAGAATCTTCTTTTGTGCCAAGGCAATTGTATTTGGCTGTGATTTTAGGTAGATACTAATGTGAGCCCTAAGGATAATTGTAGTGGCATTGTGAATTTAACGAACAATGCATCCAAGCTATGGTGAGATTGTACCGTTGTAAGATTACTATGAATATGAGGCTTCAAAACCTTAAGGGGGTAAAGAGTACTATGAGTTGCAACATTTTTTGAGTGGCTTACTTCTCTCACACCAGAATTGTCTTGTAAATTTTTCCATGACCACCTTGTCTCGTAACTTTTCTTACAAAGCCTCTTTCTGAGCCTTAAATATGATGAAACATGTCTTTTGCAACTTAGACATTGAGTGATCAATCCAATCAAATAAACCACAATTATCGTATTGTTGCACATCAATTAGAGGCAAAACCTTCATATAAAAATAATCAAATCACATTTTTATCCACTTTTTTCTCATTCATGTTTCATCAAATGTGCAAAAAAAAAATAAAAAAAAATCATAACATAATAAAATAATAAATTACCTTTCTAACCTGGCACTTGTAGAACTCCTACATGGACTGTCGTTAGTCATGGATGTCAGAGCATTTGCCTCTTTACTATGGTGACACTGCTTCTGCATAAGAAAACTGGAAGAACCACCATGTTGGGATTTTTGGCTTGTACGAGACAAGGACGACATTTATCAGAGGATGTTGATACTTGTGTGACAAAATTTTCAGAGTGAATTTTGGGTTACGGTTAGGAATAGAGTGATAAAGGTGCAAATTTTGGGGATGAAGACGATGAATTGAAAGGGGCTGGGGTTAAATTTGGGGGGGAGTCGACGATGCATTTGTTTTTTTTTGGGGGGGTTTTAACACGTCATTATTCATAAACCATATCAGCGGGAATTGACGCTGACAAAATTATGACCGTCGTTTAATTTTAGATTCGGATTGCAAACATAAGATAAGGATATGTTAATCTTGCTAAATTTCAAAAGTTTGGTTAAAATTGTCTAAAGTCGAAAGTTGCAATTAGACCTAATCAAATAAACAAATCGAGCTTTAGAACGATTTGGGTTTAAAATTACACTTGTGCCACTGATGCCACAAAAACGGGTGTCGTCGTCCTCTTTGGTATCATCGCCGCTGCTATTTTCTTGTTTCTGCAGTTCCTCAATTTATTCAACATATGTAACTCCGCCTGCTCCCCTTTTCTCTTCTCGCTTTCATATTAAAGCTCCCATTTCCCCTCTCTCTCTCTCTCTCTCTCTCTCTCTCTCTCAGATTCAGAGTGCATAAGCAGAGGATTCCATGGCTGCCATATTGCCATCTGTTGGAACGGCGTCAGCCCCATTTTCCTTTGCAGATCACTCGGCCAAATTGTCTACCTTCTCCATATGCTCTCTCCCAGGTTCTTTCTAACCTCTGTAGATAAAATCCCTGATTAGTTAATGTGAATTGTGATTAGTGTAGGAATTGATATTTGATCTAGCCATTTAGCGTCTGTGGTCTCAGATTGGTCTGCTTGTTTCGTTCTATGGCTTTAGTCCATGATCTTAGAAATTCGCGAATTTGTATTCAAGGCGCGGTGATTCTCATACTTGTCTAAAGTTAGCTCCTTTTTCATGTGGGTGTGTTTAAAACAGTTACTAGATCTGATCGAAGCTCGATTTTGAATCCGGTTTGCAGCACTCGGATGCCTGGAAAGCTCATTAACAAGGCTGTTGCGGTCGGTGCTCTAAGTTTTACCTTCTCATTATGTTCTATTTGTATGTGCATTAGCCTGTTATGTTGGGTTTTGTTCTGCTTGCACATAATGATGTGCATAAATTTTGTTTTTCTTTTGTGTTTCTGCAGACACGGACTGAGAATTCTGCCTCAGCAGCTTCGAAACCTGGGTAAGGTTCTAAATTCTCAATCTGTAATCATCCTATTTGTTCTTTATGCTTTCTGGCATTTGTGTGACACTTCTGGCTGCTTCGAAACCTGAGTAAGGTTCTAAATTTTCAATCTGTATTCATCCTGTTTATTCTTTATGATTTCCGGTATTTGTGCAACACTTCTGCCAGGTTTAGACATCTATCGATTTATTCATTTTCTAGAATACTAACTCAAGTGGTAATTGGTATGATCCATAAGCACTACCATAAATAAAATGTTTATGAGTGGTGTGTCGAATTATCGACTCAGCAAGATTTTCGATTGAACCGCCTCGTCTCGAATGTCTTGAACATGAACTGAATCAACCTGCAAAACATAGGCCCAGCGTAGAGTGGCGTAGACACTCTGACCCTCGGTCAGAAATCATGTACTCGATATATCATAATCATATAGCTTATTCAGAGCGTGAATCTAGATAGTGGACTACACACACGCTAGAAAGTCCACTTGGATCCCTTATAAATAAGAGATTTAATGACTTATTCCTCAATACAAGGTTTTCTTAATCACCAAGGAATCAAATTGAGCAATAGATATATACAAATTTACTTGGATATCTTTTTATAAATCTCCGTTGCTTTTCACATAATTTAATACGGTATATCTTTAAACCGTAGAGATCGAGTCTAATAGGACTAATATTACGTATGCTACATCATCTAGCCTCGCACTTTAGACGAGCTTGTTGGCTTAATGCTCGTCTAAGAGTAGAACATTCATTCCTTAGCCGGCTCCATCTCTTAGAACTACCGCGTGGTCCGCGTCAAGATCTTAAACTCGTATAGCCCTCTGGACCAATTATTTCGGGATTTCCAATATGCCTAGGCACTGCATCTATATCAAGTAAAAATCTTCTTAAAAACTTCTTCTTTGATCGGAGCCTTTAACTTGGGACTTTACTCAAAACTAACGACCTTCATAGAAAAAGAACCAAGAGATCGACTTCACACTCTCTCCCCACTCTTTATCATAACCGAAGCAAGAATGCAGCCTTACGCTTGTACACATAGTTAGTTTCTAGCTAGCTATATGCCCTTATAACTAGTGAGCATGTAGCTTTGGTTTATGCTTTATATTTAGCTTCCTAAAACCATATCCAATCCTTTGGAGTGTAGAGTTTACTTTACTCTAGAGTAGAGAATCCAAAATTTAACTTTCGTATCTAGCCGTTCGCGCTATATTTTACACTACATAAAATATAGTAGTAAAAGTTAAATTTAAATACAACTATAAAATCAAAATTTTAATTTATTTAACAAAATAAATAAAATAAAATTTAAATACAACTATAAAATCAAAATTTTAAATTATTTAACAAAATAAATAATTTTATTAATTGTAGCGCGGTGAATAGTACCGCGCTACATGTAGCGCATTACTATTCATATATTCAGAGTATTGCAAAGATGTAGCGCAACACTGGAGCAAGTTTTTCGCATTACTCTAGTGTAGAAATGTGGCGCAGGGCTTGGGAAATTCTAAGGTAAAACAAGGCTTTGTGCTATCTATTAATTAGCGAGCTAGTAGCTCGTCTTAATGGTACATATGTCGGTTCTGTGCACTCCAGTCTTCTTTTAGCAACAAGCTTATCGACTCGACTTTATGCTTTTGTATCGATCCTAGTTATTAGCCTTACTACTTGGTTTTTACTCTTACAATTTTTTTTTTTTAATTTTGTACTCTTTTTTAGCCACCAAGTCTTACTAGGCTTAATCCTTTGTTGTCATCTATCGAGTCATAAGTTCGGTGGTATGTTGAGCTCATTTGCTTTTATCTACTGAGCTAGAAGCTCAACTATACGCCGTATTCAATATTTAGCTACCGAAATATAGATCGGTTTTACACTGCAATCGTTCTTGTAGCTACCAAGCTTACAATCTCGTCTTTACACTATATTCTTGTTTTCAACTACCGTGTGTATTAGCTTGGCCTTATGCTTTCTTGTCTTTAGCTGCCCTCGAGCCTTATGCTAATTGACTTCTTTGTTTGCCAAGCTTGAGGGCTTGGCCGTATGCTAACGTCTTCTTTAGCTGCCGAGCCAGGCTCGGCCTTATGCTAATGTCTTCTTGCGCCGCAGAGCTCGAGGGTCGGCCCTATGCTAATGTCTTCTTTTTTAGCCGAGCTTGAGGGCTCGGTCTTATACTAATGGCTATTTTAGCCGTCGAGCTTGAGGGCCCAACCTTATGCTAATGTCTTGTGTGTAGCTCCTGTGTGTAGCTCATGAGCCTCATACTTCGACCATGTGCCATGCCTTTTTGTAGCTCCTATCCGGATCTTATGCCACACGCCCTTTGGCATCACCCAAACCTATAGCTCGGTCATATGCCACGTCTTTTCGCAGCGCCCGAGCCCATAGCTCGGTCTTATGCCACGTCTTTTAGCAAATCCCCAATTAGTTTTGGATGAAATATATATTTTATATATATATATATATAAACATCCCAGATTGGGATGGGGGTTGAGGCTACACCCCCGACCTGTGAATATAATGGCTCAGCTAGGGCTAAAAAGTCAATGGACTACATCCAAGTCGGAAATACATAGAGCAACATCAAAAGCAGAGAAAATAAAAATAAAAAAATACAAGGATCACAAAAATATCCGTTGTGGTTGGATGAAATAAAATTTAATTCATTCATTATTTAAAAAGTTATCTCGTATAGTGAGTCGTTTCGTGAAGAGTTTTTTGAAATAGTGAGATTCGTATGCTTTCTTTGATTTTTCCAAATTTTCCATAACAATCAACAGGTAGAATCATAATTCTACCCACAAACGACGCCAATTTGATGTGGTCGAATTATCGGTCCACCATGATTTTTGGTTGAACCGCCTCGTCTCTAATGCCTTGAACACAAACTGGATCATGGTCAAAACAACACAATGGGCATAGACCTCCAACGTAGTCACCCTGACGCTCAAGTCATAAATCATGTACTCAATATCAGTTGATTAAAAATAGCAGATTAAAAATAGCACGCCATGGTGTCACCATGGTGCGAGGCGGGGCTTCGACGCCTCATACCCTTGAGGCGAGGTTGGAGTCACCTCGGATGTAGCGTAGCGTAGCGCGAGGCAACGCCTTATGAAGGTGAGGCGAGACAAGGCAGTTTAGGTATTTTTATACCTAGGGTCTAATTTACGGGATATTAAAACTTATCAATTAACAAAAACTACTCACCAAACTACAAAATTACCATGTGCCTTTTATTCCACCGGCGACGGCGACCAGATTCCGGCAGCTAACCGGCTACGGCGAGTGGTACATGTTCCATTTTTTCCTTTTCTTCTCGCCGGCGGTGTTGACAGCATCCGGCCAAGACGTAAAGCGAACCG